GAATTATTTTTTGAAAAAAATAATTACAGTTCTTTCAATCGAATTAATTTCAATTGAAGAGCAAAGCAGAAGAGACATGTTTATAGAAATTGTTGAAAATATTTGCTAATCTTTTTGATTTAGGGGGCAGCCGCGGCTTGAAAAACTACGCAAACATATATATATATATATATTCCCTTCTTGAAGATTTTGAAAGAATGAATATATCTTACGGAACGCGCCCATCCCACCTTGAACGCTCGGTAGCCTTGGAAAGCTCATACATTTCCGAGCGTGCCCGAGCGATTCGCGCGACTGGAAAATACCTCTCTCCGGAAGCTGAGGCTGACTACAACCATTATTTGTTCTAGTTCGCCGTCGTCGTGGCACACAGCCGCCCGATTCCTCGTATATACCCTCGTAGCATCTCCCTCCAACCCTCTTTCCCCTCTCGCGCGACCATTTTCTAACCAGACCTGGATCCCACCTCTTCTCCGGCTGGCCTCGAGCAACCATCCGCGACCTCTCCATCGTCCTCCTTCTCCACCGTATCTCTCCCTACGCATTTCGCATATCCCCGAAACCTCCGTCCCTTTCATCCCTTTCGTCCTTCCCCTACTTGCCGTCTCCTCTCAACCCCCTATGCGCGCTCCCGTCCCCGTTCCTCTTCTCCTCTCGTCGCACTACGTCTATTTATCCACCTAGCGGTATGATATTACACCCCGGGGCACACTTTGGGGATTCTCCCACCCCCGATAGCGGGGAGTCGAGGGCACCCTCCGGAGAGCCACGCCCAATCGCGAGCCGGCAGTCGGTGCACCACCGCTCTCCGGCTGTTTCCAGAGCCGAGTCCATTGGCCCGCGCTGACTTTGCGTCATCGCCACCCCGTCGTACTCGCCGGCACCTGCCACACCGCGTGTGTTTCACGGATGAGGCTTTTCCGCCGCCGACGCGACGGGGTGGCGAGGAGACGTGTATAGGGGAGGAAAAAGGAAAGGCAATGGAAAACCGGTTGGTTTCTAGTCGACAAGACGGGAGAGAGGCTCGCGAGGGTGGAACACGAAGAGGGTGTTGAAATTTAGAAGGCTTCATTTGCTCCATTCTTCGACCGTCACGCCGCGCCAAACTGTCGCGGATACGCAACGCTTATACTACTTCTTTTCTCTCTCTCTCTCTTCTCTCTCTTTCTTCGTTCTATTATATCCTTTTTCGCTCTACTTGCGCGGATTTTCTCGAAAAAATCTGATATTAGATTCTTCGCGAAGGGTTTTAGTCTGAAAAATGGTTTGTATATATACACGTACTGTGTTGAAATATTTTTGCGAAAAAGACCCGTTTTCTTGACACATCAGACACGAAAATCTGAATAAAATTTTAGAAACGTGTTATGCTTTATTCATAAATTCGATAATAAAAACTGCGATACATCTAACTGTCACTGATAATTTTGCATTTATATTTTTTATTAAGATATCTCCATGTTTTTTATTTATTTAATTTAATCGATCATAATTAAAGTGCGATAAAAACTGTCTAATATTTATGGACATTAAAATGAGAATCTGAATATATATAATTACCATATTTTTAATTTAATATTAATATGATATATAATTAATAATTCTATTAATATCAAATTAATACAGTATTATATATTTTAAAGCTCTTCGAGATTATATAATACATTTTTTCTTGCATTGTTTTATATGACTCATTGTGTCGAGTCTCAAAATATCGCAGAGGATATAGTCGATTAAAAAGTATTATAATGATAAGACGAACGATATCGCGAATAGCGCAAATCTGGGTTAAAAGGGCGACCTCGACACGAAGGCTTTTGTAGATTTGAGAGGAAGGGTCTAATGTGAAGTTCCCGTCATTCTCTGAGTACGTTGAGTACCGCAGATGACGCAAACTCGTTTGCAAGATATTCTTCGTAAAGAGCATTCTTGAAAAACATGCGCTCTAACAACTTACCCTCTCGTTCACGGGCCTACTCGCGGATGAATTATGAGAAAGGAAAAAACTAACGAATTCTCACAACATGTATAATCACGATGCAATACAATATAAACAATTTGTATTTAATAAAGAATCGCAGAAAAATGCTGCGTCGAGACATTCAAGATTAGTATAGATTATTTAAAAATGTTTTTCTCTTAATTTTTTATCTGCATATAGTCTTAAAATAAATACGATGTAATAAAATTAAAATGTCTGCACACAATTTTATCAAGAGATTTAGTACACAATTTTATCAAGAGATTAAGTCAAAAGTGAGAGAGATAAAACAGATTATTATCGTTGATTTATATATGTATGCATAAGATTGAAAGACCGATTTTTCTGAAAACAGCTTTTTCTCTCCTGTGCATTATATAAAGGTATTCAAGAGCCTAAGCTTATTACATAAGAGGAAAGGACGACTGAGATCGATCGATGCGCGATTTTCAACCTTAATAGCAACGCAATTTCGTTGATTCCGAATCGCTGCAAATGTTTAATAACCCGCAGCGCACAAAGAGGAATTAAAATCATAAAGGGCTAACGTTGATAATATCTTCAAGTACAATTATAGAAATAGTGGTTATTATATGCGATATTAAGGTATTGTATTATTTTCAATCATTTTCAAGTTCTCTTTTTATCGCACAGGATGAAATTAACTAATTATACACAGAGAGAATTTTCTCTTAGAATTTATTCTGAAAATCATGGTGTGAGAGAATATTATAGGAGAATATATTCCCTGATTAATATTTACCACAATAAAAAATATTAATATCTACCACAATAAGATATAAAATATGTTCGATTAATTTTACTATGTACATATCTATATTTTTTATTGTGGTAAATATTAATCAGAGAAACTTTTATAAATTTCTTCCAATACTATATTGTTCCACGATTACCATAATTTTCGGGGTAAATTCTAAGAGAAAATTCTCTCTATGTAAAGAGACAAAAATACTTAAATACATAAATATAATATTTAATTCTATATATTATTTTTATGTGTTGTTACAATTGTTTCAAATCTTTAAAAAAAATACAAAAATTAATTTAGGAGACTATACTCCCTTCCTTTCTGGATTTAATAAGATTAAAAATCCAGATTGTATAAAACATTTATTTATAATATAAATAATATTTAATATAATATTATAATAATTATATTAAAATGTTTATATATTTATTTATTTCAATATGAAAAAAATGTATAATTGTATGCAAAAATATATAGATGTCATTTTTAATTCTATATTATTGATTATTTAATTCTATAGATTGATTGTTGCATTATTGCAGTATATGTTCAAAACAAAAAATTCTGTATAATAATTTGTGTAGTGAACAAAAAACTGTATAATATAACAATAATGAATTGAATTTAAATTTTTCGAAACGGAGAAAAATCAGGCTTTTTATTTAAATAAATAAATATATATATATATATATATTACTTCCCAAAAGTTTAAAAATTTTCTAAACAATTGATTTGTTTTAAATATTCTTCAATAAAAAAGGGGGAAATATGCTAATAATAAAGAATTGAATTTTTCGAAACGGAGAAAAATCAGACTTTTTATCTAAATAAATAAATATATATATTACTTCCCAAAAGTTTAAAAATTTTCTGAACAATTTACTTGAATTAAATAATCTTCAATAAAGAAGGGAAAAAATATGCTAATAATAATGAATTGAATTTGAATTTTGCGAAACAGAGAAAAATCAGACTTTTTCTCTAAATAAATAAATATATGTTGCTTCTCAACAGTTTAAAAATTTTCTGAATAATTTATTTGTTTTAAATATTCCTCAATAAAAAAGGAGGGAAATATGCTAATAATAAAGAATTGAATTTTTCGAAACGGAGAAAAATCAAACTTTTTATCTAACTAAATATATCTACATATATGTCACTTTCCAAAAGTTTAAAAATTTTCAAAACAATTAATTTGATTTAAATAATCTTCAGTAGAGAATAAAAAAAATAAGGTAAAATGTTTGCATCATTTTTGTCTCCTCGGATTAGGCAATTCGCCACTTTGCATCGCGGCGTGCTTCGCGCGCGAGAGTATAAGCGGACAAGTACTCACCCCTACGTCGCAAGTAGTATTCAGCCGCACAGGGGAGACGCGGAGTCTTTACTCCGCTAATAGCCGCACAGGCAATTAAACGCGGCGAATACATAAATACACGTCATTAACTCGCCGCTCAAAGAGTTTGCCAGGGCGATTAGGTCTTTTAAGGTCCAGCGCACGCCATTCATTCGGCCCTTACTCGTCGAGACGCAATTTTCAAACTCTTCTTTTATATGCACACGCAATATATATATATCAGAATCTATATACATGTATGATCTCAAAGTTCGAGGTTTTTTTTCTTTTAACGTTAAGATATCGAGACGGTTGTTCACGCCTTTCGACAATTAATTCTAAGAAACTTGTATATAACATAAGAAATAAAATGAGAGTTTCTCTTATCCCTTATGATATTCTGAATAATTTCTATCTTGACAGAATTATCCCTTTATTTCTGTTATAATTGCGATATACTTATTCCATATACTATTCAATGCGATCTCTCTTTACAACATGCATGTGCATATACATTGTTTTTATTTGTGACTAATTTGTATAAAATAATCTTGCCTTACCTTGTACGATGCATCTATAACCGCATTCGCCGTGCGACTATTTTGAAGCTCTCCAATTTCCTCGAATTGATCCTGATGAAACAGTCGACAGTCTCTGAAGAAGATTTCCTTATAATATCTTCATCACACACTGAAATGTGGAAAATATATTTGTTATTAGCAACTTTTTTCTGCAAAGTTATGAACTGTGAGGTATCACTCGCGCGTATAAAATACGTTATGATACGAAAATGGCTAATCATGACGCGATCAAATTGGCACATTGAGCGCCACCTGTCGGAAAGTCGTGAAACTAAACGCGGCGCTTTTTGGAATATGGCGGCGCCCTTGGTAGTGATATTTTATTAGGTTATGATCTTTTTAATCATATTAAATAAAGAAAATATATTTATCATATCTGCGGTCTATAACAATCATTAATATATTGATGCAAACTTAATAAATAATAAATATACACAAGATACGAAATATATCGATATAATAAGGAATATCGGCAATTTGTTTGATAATACAAATTATATCACAAAAATGTCGATGTTACGTGCTGTCTTATTTAAATGTCATAATAATTCTTTGATAATTTCAAGGTGATTAAATTGATATACATTTTTTATATTATATTTAATTATATTGCGTGCCCAAATATCTAAGAAAAAATATAGGCATAAAAATATAAGCCATCATACTACACTGTTGATGATGTAATTATTTAATATGATAAAAGTTAGGAATGAACTATATTAAATCAATTTTAATAAAATATTTCAGATATCCGCTACAGAAATATTTTTTACAAGGAAAAAGCCAAAACATATGGGGAATAGCAAAACGTGAATTCACTAAAAGTACTCAAAAGTGTACCCAAGAAAATGTGAATGGATCAAAGTTTGCCTCATATATTTTTAAATTTGGTCTTGGTGGACTTGGAGTAACAACTGCTTGTATTTTGAGATCACATAATCATGTCGTGCTCTGTAGAGAAGCTAAAAGAATTAGTGATGTGACATCTGATGAAACTCCTGAACTAATTTTTGAATGGTCAAAATTGTTTAAATATTTATATCCACATATTTGGTATCTATTGCTAGCATTATCAGTAAGTATTTGTAATTTATAAATCACATACATATAAATAATAATATTTTTATTTTATATTTATAGAGTGCATTAATAGTCGCACTGTTAAATATTCAAATACCTCAGTGTGTTGGAAGTGTCATAAACGTGCTCACGGAAATATGTAAGAACAAAAGCGATTCTACAAAGCAAATTATCTTGCAACTGACTCAACCAGCTTTTATTTTGGCTCGCATGTATATCACGCAAGTATGTAACATAAATCAGATAATAATAAGTATATAACAAATATGGAATCTTTTTGAATCAAAGATCACAAAATTAAATATTTTTATCTGTATGAATTTTAATATTTTTCCAGGCATTTTTCACCTTTGTATATATTTATACACTTTCTCATGTGGGTGAGAGAGTTGCAGTGAGTTTACGTCAAGATTTGTTCAAATCAATTATCATGCAAGACATAGAATTTTTTGACAAAACACGTTCTGGTGAAATAGTAAATCGATTGACTAGTGATATTCAAGACTTTAAGAGCTCATTTAAGACTTGTATTTCTCAAGGCTTGAGAAGCTTTACACAAATTATTGGCTGTGTCATCTCTGTAATAGTGATATCACCACAATTAACTACTCTTGTAGTATTTAGTTTACCTACATTAATTTTTATTGGTACTCTCTTGGGAAAAAGTTTACGCAAGTTATCTATGGAGGCTCTAAATCAAATCGCAAAATCGACTGCTGTTTGCGAAGAAGCTATACAAAATATTCGAACGGTATTGCAGATAGTTTCCTAATAAAAGTATGCTATGAAATTTTTATATTTCACACTTTTTATTTTTCTTACCAGGTAAGAGCTTTTGCTGCGGAAGAGAAAGAGGCAGAAAGGTTTTACAAAGAAGTTGAACGTTCATCTGAGCTTTACGAAAGATTAGGTTTTGGTATAGGCTTCTTTCAAGCAGGCACAAATTTATTACTTAATGGTATTTTACTTTCTACGTTATATTTTGGCGGGCAGTTGCTTTCTACAGGAGAATTGTCTCCAGGAGGTTTAATGGCATTTTTAATGGCTACACAGACTATACAGAAGTCTCTAGGTCAATTGTCTGTGCTTTTTGGAACTTTTGTTAGGGGACAAAGCGCAGGTGCCAGAGTTTTCCAGGTATTCTCATTCAAATTATGCAGTTTTGCTTACACAAGAGAAAAAGTTTTAAAAATTATAAATATTTGTTATAGTTTCTAGATATGCCACCTTCACCAATGATGACCAGCGGTGATATAATCACGGATAAGTCTCTGGCGGGAAATATAGTTTTCAAAAATGTAAAATTTAGCTACCCCACTAGACCGGATCACATTGTTTAAAAAATTTCAATTTACACATTCCCTCTGGTAAAACTGTGGCTATTGTTGGTGCCAGTGGAAATGGTAAATCAACTGTGGCTGCATTATTAGAAAGGTACAAATTATAACAATCATATACAATATTTTGCTTCAGATTCACAGAAAGATATATATACTATATACATAATGTAAATGTATAAAATTATTATAGATTTTACGATGTTGATGAGGGCTCTATTACTATTGATGGTCGCGATATTAGATCTCTCAATTCGAGTTATCTCAGAGGTAGCGTTTTTGGCTATATAAATCAAGAACCTACTTTATTTGCTACCAGTATCATAGAAAACATTAGATATGGGAGACAAGATGCAACGGACGAAGAGGTAATTTAATATTGCAATTATAGCATTATTACTATATGTAACATTTTATAATATATTTAAATATTTTACTTGATCATCATTCCAGGTCATTGAGGCAGCTAAAGAAGCAAATGCACATGAATTTATAACAAAGTTTCCAGACGGTTACGCGACCGAGGTCGGCGAAAGAGGCACACAGCTCTCTGGTGGACAAAAGCAACGAGTTGCGATTGCCAGGGCTTTGCTAAAACAACCATCTGTTTTAATTCTAGATGAAGCTACAAGGTACAAGTAATAAACTGATGTAAGATTCATCTCTATGCTTATCTATTTTTTCTATTTAGTGCATTAGATTATGAAAGCGAGAGAGTCGTTCAAAAGGCGATTGAAAATGCTACGAGAGGTAGAACGGTACTTGTAATCGCTCATAGATTAAGTACTATTAAAGGTGCTGACGTAATCGTTGTATTACAACGCGGTATCATAGTGGAGGTATGTTTTAATCGATAAAATTAATGTAATACCATGCGCTCATTATTAGAGAGATAATATATAAATATTATATAACACTTTTCTCTCTCCTTCTTTCTCTTGTAGATGGGCACGCATTCGGAATTGATTAAACGAAAAGGCGTTTATCATACACTCGTAAACGAACAAGAAAAGGAAAATATATGATAATAATATGTATTTAAAAAATATGTGTACTATATTTATACAAACAATTAATATTAACGGTGATAGTTCATTATTTATTCTCATTTTCCGTTTCGTAGAATAATTTTTCCTTTGTATCTTACATAAAGTATGTAAGTGAACTTGTACATATAGATTGTATGTCAATGTATGTATTACGCTACCTCAGAAACGGGAAACAAATTTCGAATTATAATAAATTATTATTTTCTCTAGATATTTATAATGTATCTTATCACACATTTTTTATCAGTGATATATCCCAACAAAAACATATACTTTATAAATGCATGTATAATATTAATTATTTGTGATCGGAGCATCTTGCTCAATAAAAGGTGATGCTTCCGTGCTATCCTTACCATTTTGTGTTATCAAATCTGTGTCTGAAATAGCAGGAAGATCTTGTTTCGTGGGAGTTATGGTCGTAATATCCATCGATGCAGTTAAATGTTCCAGAGTCAAAGTGGGCTGTGTCGTAGGTGCTAAATCTAAAGTGTCAATATGTTTGGAACCATCTTCGATTACTTCCGGCGCATCTAAGTCGGGATCAATGAGTTTACTATCAATCGAAGGAGAAGTTTTGAATAGTTCTTTCGTGGCGTATTGATCGTCGTTGATATCTGTTTGTGGTGATAAAATTGCAGATGCCGATGTAGGAGATAATGTATCAAAATCATTACTTGGACTATCTGTGGTCGCAGATATATCGCTTAATATTGGTGTTGGGTTTTGATCAACCATTTCAGCATTAGAATTTGATGGTGCCATTATTCCATCATCATTACCATATTGTTCTGTAGTTACACTCTGCATTTCTTCATATGATTTAGATGATGTTCCACTAATGGGAGGAAATTCCGGTATATTACTTATTGTTGATGTCTGATATGAATTGACTGCTTCAGTCATATCCTGCGTTTCTTCGTCTACTTTCAATGATTTATCATTGATTGAAGATAAGTCTGGTGTATTGCTTATTGTCGATGCTGAATCAAAAGCTTCAGTGTTTGAATTTGGTAATGTTACTCGTTCGTCATCGTTATTTTTGTATTGTTCCGTTGTTTCACTATCAATGTTAGAATTTATATCTGTACTATACATTGAAGGTAAGTCTACTGGTGGTATCGTGTCGGCTTTCTCGTTATTTATTTCTTGTGCGCTTTCAGTCGGATTCGATGCTTGATTGAACATTTCACCATCAGACACTGAAATGTCTTGATTTGGATGTGTGGGCAATGAACTCGCTTTGTCTAAATCACCATCATTACCTCCGTTGTCTATTGATAGTGGATTATCTGTTATGCTTTCAGGAGCAGAGATAATATCATCGTAACTCTTGGGTTGTATGCTTTCTTCTCTTGTCAAAGAATCAGTTTCACTATTTTTGGATATTCCTTCGTTTTCTTCTGTAGCTCCATCAGAATTTAATGATTCCACATTATCATCTGGCGCATCTGGTACACAAATTACGGAGTCTACCGAATCATTGTTCTCACAATCTGACACGACGGCGCAGATTTCTCTGATTGCTTGATACCCCGTGTTTCGCGGGCACTTAAAGACGCTCTGGTGAAGTCTATGTCCGTTCGTGTCGCACGTGTAAAACATAGAACAGTGATCGGGCACGGGAAACCGGCCGGGTCTCATGCAATCTGGCACCTTAACGTGTTCATAATATTCGAGATCATCCGGTTGAATGATGCTGGGAGTTAATTTACTTGAATCGTAGTAGGCGCATCGTTGTAGACGATTGTCGAAGATCTGTCCGTTCGCACACTGTGCCAGGATTGACTTGTCGCGCTTGCAGATATGGTAATACAGAAGACTAGTGCAGTGCGGCTTTAAAATGTTGACGCCACATGATCGTCCATTCTCAACGTGAAGCACCTTACCGCCACCGGGTACACCTAGACAACGTCCTTCCTCCTGGTCATAATACTGATTAAACTTGCAATAACGTAATGCAGTGGGATTAATCGCTCGTCGATGCCGAAACACTTGTAGTTCAACGGTGCTTTCTTCCGCGTTAATATTCTGTAAAAATTATGTCTTTAAAATATATAAAATACAAAAAAAATATAGATTAATAATGAAATAAAAGTGTAATGCCTAATATAAAATTTATCCATTACATTCTTCTTATTCAAAAAATGCATTTAAATATACAAATATAATAAATATATTTGCAATTTATTTGTTTTATATTTTAATAACTTTTTGAAAATAAAATTTATACAATTTTTTAAATAATGAATTCTAACTGTATATTTTTAGAAATCAAATATATAAAAAAGTACTTACTTTATAATCGTTCGATAAATAATATACTACCGCAATTAATAGTACAATTCCAAGCGGTAAAAATCGGAATATAATCTTCGTAAATGAAGTCATGATGCAGAGCAGCTCGTCTTTCGACTGTATATCTTCCAGAACACTGATTTAAATAAATCGTTTCTGTTTTTCAATTCTCACGAGATGGCAATATCTTGAAAGAACTTATTAAAGGAGAAATATGCAGACATATTTTCATATCAGAAACGTGCCAATTAATAACACACAATGAAAAATGTTAATGTAATTTTCGGTTCATATAGTCTCGAGCTTTCCAATCAAGACGATAATAACGAATTTTAGATTAATGAATGTTCTTATTTCCGCGTTTATATCAGAAGAACGAGAGATAATGGACAAATGTGAAATCGTACAAAGCGCATTAAAGTATGCATGGATGGTATAGTTTACAGTTTCGCGATAAATCGTTCAAGGTCGACTGAGTCATAATTACGGCATTCAAAACTTGATCACCTACGTTTTGAAAGAAACCTGATTAAATTGGCAAACAAATTAATACTAGGAACGTAGAAATAAATGCGGAAAATTTATTTTTAATTATATTACCTGGCAATGCGTAAATTCTTATATACAGTATTTCGTTGAAATATATATCTAAGTTAGCTTATTCATTGAAATAGTAATATCATATAGTAATATAGAGATTAATTTACATTCAAATATATAACGAAATAGGACTCGAGTTTAGGATTGTACATCGTTGTTCGCGTTAGAAGCAGAGATTATACAACGTTTAAAAAAAATTGTCATTTGTACAGTGGGTTTCCTCCTTTCTCTCAACAGTCGCATTGTGGCACTCTGTACGTAAAATTGTTGCTCGTTATAATATTAATTCCAGCACCATAATATGGCATCACATAGTGCGAACCATCTGCTGGTCCTACAATTTGCGTAGCTATCAATATTACATCAGCAAATTGACCAAGAAAAAGAAACCCCAGTGTGCTCAACTTGAGTAAGCCCAAGGCAGGATATCCAAGGTAAAATCGATCAGCACCGAACATACCAAGAAATATCGATAACAATAATGATGTCTCGAAAGAATATCCATTCCTAAGAGAGCAATTATTCTCAAATAAGTATCTTAAATCTCTCTTCTACAATATTCCTTAAAAACTCCAATTATGCCAATTTAAAATACCGAGTACTTACGTCCATTTGCAAGGTATATCCTTCTTGAAAGTATTATTTTTCGTTTCTGTACAAATGAGACCATCAGCAACTAGACATAACACTAGAAAAACAAAACAATCTATGTATATTTAATCTTGTTAAAGTAGAAATTCTCTAGTATGCATGAAATAATTGTCTCTAAATATATAATAATACAAAAAGAAGACAACCAATAAAGGCAATGTTTAATGCAATCAAAATTTATAGGAAGAAATAAATAATAGATATTTATCTCATAATTGCGTTCTTTTACGTCCTTTTTCTACCTTTTAAAGTCTAAATATACATTATTTCATTTTAAATAAAGCGTATATAAAAATAATAAATAACGAGCATACACACATACATACACATTATAATAAATGCCTCTCAAATAAAGGTTAGGAATGCTCCAAAATCTTGAATGAGATCGAGCTTACCTTTGGCCTTGTTCTCCTTGGTGCAGCCACGTGGCTGCTGCGTTTTGGGATCAATGAAATCGTAATCGGGATGGGGACAGATGTACTGTCCCATTCGGAGATTATTGCAGTCGATTGAATACGTCAGATTCGTGCCATCGCATAGCGCGATCGTTGGCAGAAAGATGAGCAGCCCGCTAAGAAATCGCACCGAATGGAACATAACGTCTCATTTTATGCGTTACACCTCGGCGACAGCCCGATATTCACCTTATATACACGCGATTATAATAAACTACGAACGAGCGCATCTTCTTCGTGTTTTGAAATCATATATCCCCGACGTACATTGCTTTTGCTTTTGCGACGTTCCGCTCCGCGGCGCCATCTGTCATCTGTCACTTTGGCTCAATGCGCATGTGCGAAAAAAAGCGAATTCTAGATGGTACATCAAGTGAGAAAACTTGGACTTTCTCAGAACTAGCACAAAAATTTTTAATATATTCGGTCAAATTGTCAGCGTGCGAATAACACCCTCCCATTCAAATGTCGCCGCACGAATGACGCAACAGCTATGGAATGCGGTGCGCAGTACAGCGCGCAGGTGTGGAGAAAGGAGTGGGGATAGCGCGGTGGTGGGGATAGAGCAAGTAGTGGGAGGAGTGGGAGAATGGAATGTGATGACGCGAGGCGGGAAGGTCACCGCTAGCGCACTAATGGCGCAATATTTAATTATTTTGATCATTTTGATCGATTTGTTTTAATTAAAATTTTATTGTAATCTTATTTTATATATAATTCGTGCGTACGATGTCAAGATTCTAAAATATTGCTAGTTAAAGTTACTAAAAGGCAAGCTTTTTTATTGGAGTTTAAAAAATTTAGGAGTTTAGAAAATAAATTAATTTACTAAAGTGAGCTGCTAACAATAAAAGATAAAACTTGAATAAAAATTGGCGTTAATTTAGAGTATATTTTTAACATTCGCAGCTCGAAATTCGAACATTATTTGCATAATACGTAATTGTTATATTGTGCTCCGAAAACGCATGGAAGATCTGCACCATCTGCACTTTGCAACTACAGTGCAGATCTGAAAGAAGTTTTGTGACAGAGCTACCAAGCAATTTATTACAAATTGATATTTAAAATTTTTTATAAATTCTGGAACATAAATTGTGGCTAAATATATTTTTCAAGTAAGTCTGATTATACTTGCAAAATTTTGACGTGATCGTTAAAGTAATTAATTCGTCCGGTTCAAAAACCATGATATAACCAATAAAGAATTCGTTGGGATTATACATTTTTCTTTTTAATTATGAAAATCAAAGGTTTTTTTATATATAATAATTTTTTTAATCTACGTTGTGTAATTAATAATCTCAAGAAATACAAATACTATCTGATACTATCAAGTTTTATTGCAAATTAGTGAAAACAAATTTTTCTATTACACTTATTTATAATATAATGAAAATTATTTGTTAAACAACTCAAAAACTGATTACTGAAATTTTTTGTAGAGACAATACCTAATAATAAACCATTCTTGTAATATAGACGGTATACTTTATTAGGATACTTGTTATATGGTTTTTTGAAAATACAATGGTGATGGAAGAACAGGTATCAGATATGGAACTAGCCTCAGAAAATATTCCAGTTCCTCAAGTACAAGAAGTAAAAATTGATACAATTAAAAAAACCAATAAATCAAATGTTTCACTTGGTAAACCAAGATTAAGGAAAAAAGCATTGCACGCATCGATACTTAAGCAAATGGAGTTTTATTTCAGTGATGCAAATTTGAATAAAGATCGTTTTCTATCAGAACTACTAAAACAAAGTCCCTGTAAGTATACTTTTCTTCTTTGATGTCTTTAATCATTCAAGTAATTACTGAGATTTATCTAAAGTATAATGTAGCATAATTTAATACTTTAGCTCTTTTATTAAATTATTTAAAAATATCAAAATATTCATATTGATTTGTCTGTTTTATTTGTTTTAGATATAGATCTTGAGGTATTCACTCAATTTAACAAATTGCGCGAGCTAACTACAGATACAAATAGAATAGCTAAAGCTTTGCAGAAATCAACTATGTTAAAAGTGTCGGAAGATGGTACAAAAGTCTATCGATTAACACCGATTAATAAGAAGGAAAATGTAGATCAATGTACCGTTTATGTGCAAAATTTACCTCCAGATGCTGATCATGATTGGTTAAAATTTAGTTTTTCTAAATTTGGATCAGTAGAATATGTTTCAATTCCTCGTTACAAAAGCAATAGAAAAATAAAAGGGTTTGCATTTATAGAATTTGATACACCAAGTAGTGCTCAAGAATGTATTAAGGTGAGAAAATGGAAAAGTAATATTTTCAACATAAGTAGATATATCACTGTATAATTAAAAATGAGTAAAAAAAAATATATAACTTTTTTGTAATTTGATAATATTACGATGTAATATTTTATTTTTCAGACGTTTCAAAATAAGGGATGTGTTTTACCATACAATACAGCTCCCCATGATGTATTAAGTATAAGTACTTTTGATGAAACTAACAAAGGTGGATATTCAGTTCCAACTTATGATGTAAATTCTAAGATAAAATCAGAAGATATTAAAGAAAACGAATCAGAAGATGAAAGTAAAACTAATGAGAATATCCATAATAATGAAATGGATATAGCAGATAATAATGACAGACAAAATCCAAGAAAAAGAAAACTTGTTTCTGAAAATTCATTTACTTTGGATGAAAGTTTAGAAAATATTAAAACTAAGAAGAAAAGAAAAGAATCTGTCGATCATAGTATAATAAATCAACAGAATGAAAAAGAAAAAACCTCAAAAGATGAAGCCGAAGATAATGATAAAATTTGTGACAATGAAACGGATGTAGCTAATAATACTAGTAGACAAAATGTAAAAAAGAAGAAAGTTGTCCCTGAAAAATTATGTGTCACAGATGAAAGCGACATTAAAGTTGAGATTCCTGAAAACAATAGTACAGAAAATCAAGAAATTTTATATAAAAGTAATAATCGTAATAAAATTGCAGAAAAGAAAAAGAGAAAAGTCACGATGGACGATATAAATATTGCGGAAGATATCAGTGGAGAAGTGAAAAAGGAATCCCATAAATCAACTAAATCAAAAAATAAAGAAATAAGATTGGTACATCCAGATACAAATGATGATGGCAAAGTCACAAGTAACGAGGTAGATTGTAAATTACAAAGTGAAAAAAATCCCAAGAGAAAAGATAGTGGAATATCAATAGCTAGTATTGATGAAAAAAAGAAGAAGAGAAATCGGAAAAAGAGAACCAAAATTCAGGAGGATGATATTTGTTATTCGTTAGGACTGCAAGTAATGTTAAAACCAGATTGGAAACGTCTTAGAAACAAATACTTAGAATTACAAAAAGCTAAAATGCAACTATTGAAAGGGCATTTAAAGAAAGGTGAAAATATAACAGGAAAGAAATATGATACAATTGGACAGAATTATAAATGCAAAGATGAAAAGGATAACAGGAAGATTAATGAAACAGAAAAGTCAGTTTATGGACGCATCAATTATACACCAGGAATTATAGTGAAAATTGAAATGGATGAGCCTTGTACAGATCCACAAAGTTTCAAGGTATATAAGCATTATTAGAAAAAGACTTTAAAATATTTATATATTTTTTATATCATTAATAAGAAAATAATAATATAAATTTTATATCAAGCATTTATATATATTTGTTTCAGATGGAGTTTAGAGACAATAACTCCGTGAAATATATAGATGTAACACATGGTTCCTGTGAAGCTTATATAAGATGTGATACAGTGGAAGCTGCACAATCATTTGTGCAAAAGAGTTATGAAGGAAGATGTTTGACAGTTTTAAAAGGTAAATAAATATATATTAAAATCACATTCTAATATGTATATATAAATATATATATATATATATTGATTTTGTATCAATTTTTCTAGATGATGATGAGAAATCATACTGGGATAAAATAGCAAGAGATCGAGATTTAAAACTGAATAAAAAAGGAAGAATTAAGCAAAGAGGACGTGATAAATTGTTGAAAAGAGCAGAGAAAAAACTTGGAAAATGCATAAAATTTGATCAAGATTGATTCCTATTATTAATTTTCTATATAAAATTTTTAACATTCATATATACATTATACTATAGTACATATCTCTGTACATGCATGTTATGTATATATAAATAATGGTACCATTGTTAGTATATAATTGAAACATAAATAAAGACATTTAGCACAAAATTATTAAAAGGGTAAATTATAACAAAAAAAATATATATATATAATCCTGTAGCATAATTAGAACATTTATTCTTATAATATACATTACAGTTACAGTAGCATTTTAATGTTTGGTATTTATTTTACAAAAGGTGTTCTTTTTATAAAATTAATTAAATCCTACCATCTTCCTCGTCCTCCTCCTCCTCCTCCACGACCTCCACCTAAGCTATTACGGTTGAATCCTCCTCCACCACCACCGCCTCCTCCTCTAAATCTTCCACCATTGGCACCTCTGTTACCAAAGCCTCCTCCTCTGCCACCTCCACCTCTACCTCTACCGAAACCACCACCTCTTCCTCCAGCACCCCTTTTCATAACTCTGCCAGGACCACCTTTCTGTTTTTCTCCAGGAGGTTTCGGCAAAAATTTTTGGAGAGGTAATAATTTTGCTGGATCAATGTACAACTAAAATCAATAAGTAATAATTAATAATGTATATATAAAATTCATATACAAGTAGAAATAGTAAACATATAAGCTGTTTATATGTTTAATATTGTCATACCTGAGTATCTTTTTCAAAACTGGAAGGCTTTGCATTTTCTAATTGGACAGATACATAATAATTACGAATATTTCCAAATATTTCATCTATTTTTCCAATCTGTTGTTTATTTGACAAATAGATTGGTGCATGAAAATATGGAATTTGTTCAATTTCTCCTTTAACAATTATCATATCTTCTACGGGCCATTCATAACGTCCTAGTGGAGTCACTGTTTCTGGAGGTCCTTGATCATACCTGTGATACATTAACAAAGAAAACAATATGCTTATTTGAAATGCCGCATAACCTATAATGTAATTTTGTAAACTAATTTTCTTCAGTATATATGTAATTATTATCACTAATTGGCGAGCTTACCTTCTGCCTCTATCGAAACCACCACCACGTCCTCTATTAAATCCTCCACCACCTCCTCGGCCTCCTCTGAAGCCTCCTCGAAAACCTCCTCCGCCGCCACCGCGTCCTCGGAAAGACATAACTTCTCAAATAATCTTACTGCACATCAACAACAATAATTCACACTTATTATGTTGAAGTAAAATTATCTGTCAAAATTATTTTCTCTCTATATTTTCGTTTATTTATATTTCTGGATTTCAGAAATAATTTTTTCGGTTTTTCGTAACCATAACATGCAACGAGTATCCACATCCACGACAATCCACGTGCGCTTCTTCTTCTTCATAGAACATGTGACATAACATAGATGGAAAAGCGTGACGTAAATCGAGTGACACTCGATTTTCCACGTCGCCAATTGGCCAGTTCAATATAAAACTTGTGGCTGATTGGTCTAATGAAAAGCTTCGATCGCTGTGATCGGTCCGTAGAGTCTCTGGAAGTAAACTTGACGTTGTAATCAAACGAGACGCTTCTTTATTAAATCTATCTATTTCATGGACGAGAGAAGAAGATTCTCGCATGCGCAAGATGTAGATAACGGCGCACTTTTACATATAAAATTTTGCATAGTACATTTTTACGTTATATATATAGCGATAAAAATATATAAAAAATGTATAAAGATAATCTAGTGTCATATGGGAATATGATCTATATATGGAAAAGGAAGAAAAAATGTTGAAAAATTCTATCAAAAGAATATAAAGGTTATATCAAATTTATTTTATTTTCATCGCTCTTTCATTTATAATATTTTATTTATTTAATATGTCAGCATAATGATATATATATATATATATATATATATATGTGTGTGTGTATGTGTTATTATGTATGTATGTATGTGTGTGTGTTTACAAAATATATAAATATTGAGTCTTTTAAAACTACATCTCCCGTGAAAATATGTCTCGCGATTATATTTTATTGACTCAAAAAATTTTTATTAGTATCACAAAGTCGTTTCTTATTAAATTGATTCCGCAAAGAAACGTTTGTATAATTTATCCGTGAAATTATTCACTGGTGGATTAAAATAATCTTCTACGGAAATGTATTTTGGTCCACCAAAATTGTTCAATAAAGCGATCGCAAATATGTTTAACTTGGCGAAAAAGAATCCATGATCTGTATATAAATAAAAAAAGTAATGCAATGTAATTTGAATATACAATTTTTAAATAGTATTTCGTAAAATGCGATATATTTTACCTGCGGGCATATTTTCCAATTTTGGATGACGATCGAAAAATAATTGTTTTGCAATTTCATGCTCTTTAGTATTATTCTTCACCTGAAATATTGGAAAAGTTAAAATTAAATGTCATTAAATGTCAAATTAAAAATCATATGGTACAAATAATACAAATAAATTGTAAAAATGTATACTAACTACTGCAATTTTTCCACTTAGCATAACTCTGGCGCATCGCGGGTCCATTGGATCCCAATTTTTATCTTTGCAATAACTTCCTTCTGCCAATGATACTAAAAGAGTCGCGCGATGATCTACCTGTAATAATTAAATATATTTATATGATATAATCATTGTAAAAAATTTAGATTGTAATATGACAGATAAATTAAATAATTTTATCAATATATGATACATATATATTATATTGGAGATTATTAATAATTTTATTTTAAAAAACTACAGCTAGATATATTTTAAGATTTAATACATGATAATCTATTGCCACAAAAAATATTATCTTATTAGAGAAGATATGATATATCAATTGAAAATATAATTTAACGCAACATCATGAGATATTATAAAAATATCTTAAATTTTTCTTTATATAATAAAATTTTCTGATTTATTCTCCTTTATTGTCACAAAAAATATTATCTTATTAGAGAAGATATGATATATCAATTGAAAATATAATTTAACGCAACATCATGAGATATTATAAAAATATCTTAAATTTTTCTTTATATAATAAAATTTTCTGATTTATTCTCCTTTATCGCATATTAAATATTTTTTATATGCATTGTATATCGCGATATTACATATAGTAATATCTACTTACAGCGAGATCTTGGGCAGTAAAATCAAGAGGAGTGAGATACATATATGGAATTCCAGTGCCGTTTCCAATAGGTCCATCACTGATGGAGATTAAATTCGCAACAGGAAATGTTTCCACATCTTTCCGTATGCTTATTGTCGCTGTAGCAGCCCAATCTTCCGATAGAACAAAAGGTATAATCATATAAATAATGATATATAAATAGAAATAAAATATAAATAGAAAGAATTGCTTAATGAATATATCATAGAGATATTTGAATATAAATTCGATAGATCGAATTGTAACTCGTAGATCGTATCTGTTTTTAAGTGCAAAAGATTAATTTAAATATTTTTGAAATATAAGAACTATAAAGAATTTTATAATTTTTAATAAGATTTTTTTGCTCTATTCTTTCTAATATCTCTTTAAACAATAATAGATTTATTTTGTGATGATCATTATTAATATGTTTCATAGCAATATAATCATTCTTTTATATATATTCGATACAACGAATTGTTTGATATCTGGTTAAATATATGCTTGGCACAAGATCAACGATAAATGACAAAAACAAAGCACGCTATACACGAGTGTGTGTGTGTGTGTGTGTGTGTGTGTGTGTGTTGTGTGTGTGTGTGTAGCAGATATCAAACAATTATATGTATTTGTCATTTATCGCTGATCTTGTGCCAAGCATACATTTAACCATATATCAAACAATATATATATATATATATATATATATATATATATATATATATATATATATATGTATGTACATATATATATATTTTGTTTAAGATGATAATATGAAACGTATATGTCTTTTACAGTCTATTTTGGTCTTATTTTAAAAGTGACTTTCAGCGATATAAATAATTAAGATAAATAATTTTTTTTATTGTAACGTACACACACAGATTACGAATTTAATATTTAATATTAAATTCCAGAAAAAGTAATATAAAGTAAAATGAAAAAAGTTAATATAAAAACTGCATAATTTGCATAATCTATATATATTTTATATATATGTGTACATATATATATAAAATACATGTAATAGAAAATTGATACATTTCTAATGCAGAGTCACGGTATTTTATCAAGAGTAATATATTATATACTTCATATTTTAGGAATTTTCCTATGTCAACAAGATACCAGCATCAGTCAATTACCAGCTTGATTAACGACGTATCTGGCGACTAAAGCTGCCTGGTCTTTCGGCGGTAGATCTTGTATGACTTGATTAGTAGTCCTTTGACTGTCTCGACCATCATCGAATCCGATCGCACGTTTCAGAAAGTCAACACTAGATTCGTCGGGCTGTTTTGTCCTTTTCCATTTAACAAACTCTTGAAATTCCTTCCAATATTTATTATAATTCACTCGCGCGTCGTCAAGCTTATGCGCCTCGCTTATTAGTAATACGCAAAAAACGATAACGCTGATCGTGATTCGCAACATCATTGTCACAGAAACTGTCTGCGCAGAATATTCTTTTACAATGCGCAAATGAGAAGCGGTTTCTCTTACACAATGTACCTAATGTTTTTTTTAACGATGAGCAGGGCTTCAAACACACAAGTGCGCTGACCGCTTGCTTCCGCGCGCTTTATAAGCTTCGTGATTAATACGATGACTGTGAAGATATCGTAATAGAAGCCCAATCTGATAAATTAAATTCGGGCGCACGCGTATCGCGGAATACTCCGCGATATGCGTGATCCCGAACTGTCGTGCGCGTGTAGCGTTTTACGCAATGATGCGATGAAATTCAGTGTAAACAAGAATGTAAAAAATTTATAATTTACAATATCGCATTATACTATATAAGAATTAATTTACTTTTAACGCAATTAAAATTCATCATGTATCTGAATATTGCAATATCTCTGGATTCTATAATAATAATCAATTAAAAGAAAAATTTATAATTTACAATATTACATCATACTATTCAAGAATTTATTTTTAATGTAATTAAGATTCATTATGTATCCATGTAATAATAATCAATAGTGTATATATATATATATATATGTTTTTTTTATTAATTTTCAGAAAAGATAAAAAAAGAATCAGTTCAAGAGGATCTCATAAAATTTTAGAAGTTCGTTTGACGCTTGGTTGTGGTGCAAGGTCGAAGAAACTGGTACGTCGGCCACTGCCGAGGCTCTCCGGCTGGATGTGGGTCGTCGTCTAACTGTTTTACGTACCGTTTCTCCGCCCCTGACTCTCTGTATCTTTCAGCAGCAGCAGCAACAGGGAACGGACGCCTACACGATGATGTCCATACTTTGTTCCTTGTACTATACATTACGGTAATGCTAGCGGCAATCGCGATCACGATGAGGGTTTCGTACGACGCTCTTTCTTCCGTCTTCCTGCGGCCTTTTCCTTCAAGATTGCATCGTTATTCTTGAAAATTATTAAACCGATGATCATCGATGTTAATATGTACGAAACTTCATTATAAGGTAATATATATATATGTATATATATCTCATTTACCGTTTGAATTTATGAAGCTTAAAATATTTCTATCTCGCGCTATTTTCATAAGACTGCAGAATTTGACTCAGATTAAACATCCTGTTTATTTAGCTTTGCTGTTATTTTGAAGTAATACTTTGCATTATTAAATTTTTATAATAATTTTTAACGTCATAAAAAAATGATAAAGCGTTAAAAAACATGTATTTTAAATGAGAATAAAAATCTGCATTGTTTCTCTTCAACGCAAACATTCGTATTAATTTTTTGAGTTTTGCAAACAAACGTACACTTCCGTTATCTTTTTATCTTTGTTGGACATTATACTCGATTTATCTATCTTCTTTAGAGTTTCCCATAATTATCCATTTCCTTGTTTCTTTCTTCCTCAGCAACGGCGTTCTCCTACTCTTGGAGTCATTCGGAACGAGATCTTCCTCCACCGCATGTTTCTCCTCCTGCCTCACCTCTTCGTCTTTCTTCTACCTGTCCTGACGACAAGGCTGTTCAGTCGCTATACGACCTTCTTCCAGGGTTACGAGTCCGAGAGTTTTCCGGGGGCTCTAATTTTTCGTTCTCTCGACGCGCTAATTGCAGAAGAAACGCTTTTTTCCAACGAAATTGTTATTCACCATTATAAATTAGAATTGTGTTGCATCAAAAATTGCGCGCCGATGGATCAGTGAATAACATCAAGAATTGCGAGAACTCAAGAGGAGGCTTCGAGATTGACACCTTTTAAATCTGCTATCATTTTTCCACACGTAATCAAGGTATAAAAATATCTAAAATTATATTTAGATAATTTATAAGAAATTTTTTACAATATTATATTCGTATAATGAATGTGATAAGTGGCAAATGCAAAGAGATAATTGAATAAAACAACAAAAAATTCAGAAAATCTCTTTCTCTCATTAATATATTGATAATGATTAATAAGTAATTAATATATTTAATATAATTTCGAATTTAATTGTATATATCTCAGTTAAATTTTTTAATACTAAATTGTTTTGTATATTTTTTTTTATATATGTTTATAAGTATACATAATATAGACAAAATTTATTGGGTTTAAAAAAATGACTATTTATAATATTTTGAAAAACGGCTTTGCAGTTTTTTGCACATTAATAAAATACGACTAAATAATTTAATAAAATATATTAATTGATAAATAATTAATATAACTTTAATGACTTCAAATTTATAAATATTTAAAATAATATTTTTAAATAAATACTTTGTATATATTATTATATATGTATATGTATGTACAAACATAGATAACAAAATATAAAAAAATAATTTTCAAAATTTAAAAATCGCTTCTATGGACTTTTGCACATTAATAAAATATGATTGTAAATTTAGATGAGAAAAGATCGCGCATGTATGTATGTAAGATGCGATTCACGGCACGGTCATGTACGTGAAACTGAAATTACACAATTCGGGGACGAAACCCCGAAACAGGGAATAAAGTAGGTCATACTGACCAACATCACCAGGCGCGTTCCATTCACCATGTCAGAGGAACCACCACAGAGGGTCATGACCGTAATCCCCATGAGCGTTATGATCGTGATGTTATTATGAATGGTGAACGGCGTCATCGCATACATGATGATACACAGATGATTTGAGCGGGTGAATGCATGTCACCGTACAACGTTATTCGACCTGAATATTAGAGCCAAATAGAGGATTAACAAAGTTACAGGACAGCTCGGAGGAGTATGTTACCGATTTATATGGAAAGCGTATAGAAAGAGAAAAGAAAGAGACGACGCGATGCCGGAAGATGAAGAAAAATAGGGATAAAGACAGAGAGAGAGAGAGAGGCTACTAAAACCCGTTATACATTGAATTCCATCTGACGTAACAAGATCTGCTGTCCTGTACATTACGGGTTTATTATAACGTTTATGTTAATGTATAAACGTTTATGTTAATGCATAAATTTGCATTTTATCTCGAAAATCTGGATCCGTACGAAAATTCTCTGCATATATTTAATTCTGTATTTATATATCTTCTGCAAACAGCTTTGACACTCGGAACTTATCAAAGATAACGGTCTAACAAGCCGTTACAATTAGTGGCTCATTTAGCATTATGCATTATTATTATTGCATTAAATTATACAGACTTACTCAATATGACGCGTTTACAGTAACATTTCCAGTTTAATCAATCTGCTATGTAAAACGCAATTTTGCATGTCGATAGATGTGACATGTATTTTAATTAGCAGATATTTAATTATATTTGGGTCGTTTCCTGTTTTTCATGCGCTACTTTCACTGAGATACCCGCATATAAAACTTAGATAACAGTGATGACTGTTGCAGTTAAAAACCGTAAAAGCGTATAAATATGAGCACGAAATATTAGAAGAGCCTGAGAAATAAAAAATATTACATAAAAATAAAAAATTTCCATCATACAAATGTCATCAAGTTTGTTGCGCATTATTAAGTAGAGAGTCTGCTCAATATACTATCATTCTTACAACCATTATTTAATTTGCGTTTTAACAAAACATTATAATAAGAAAAAAATAGATATCTAATATTATAAATCGAGAGTAAATTATAATGAACCAAGAAATGATGATCAATTAATCATAATTAAACGATTTTTTTCAGACATCGTGTGTATGAGATGCGGAGACGCTTATGGATGCTCCTCGCTCTTCTGACATGCGTGTCGAGCGAGTATCTGATGGGCGGCCACCTGGACAACAATGCCGGGTCCCGACGATCCGGCAAGATCGAGAACTCTCCCACGTCGGGTCGTCAGACGCGTCTGGACGACCTTGACCTGGATCTCATGGCAGAGGAGAGCGCGGTTGCCGTCGTTGGTGCTACCTCTGAGACTCTAAGCGACGACAGCGACGACGTTCCACGTTACCATATTCCGTATCCTTTCGCCTTCAATGGCGGCAAGCCGTTCTCGTTGGAGAAAGACCCGATAACCGGTAAGATCGACTTCGAGAAGGCACCACCCGTCAAAGCTCTCAATTACACCGATTATCGCGAGAATAAGGAGAGCCAGGATGATCCCTCCAAAGACAGAGGCGGAAACGAGGACCCGGAAAGGAAGAAGAGCAAGGGCAAGGGCAAGGACAATGAAGACGTCAGTCCGAACGAGATCAACACGTATGCTAATTTTCACGATTTTCTCAACCTGCCCGTCCACTATTCTTCGGACAAATACGGAAACGACAAGTATCCGTTGATCTCGAGCTCGTACGCGAACACGAAGGTGCAAAGCGGTTCTAATAGCTACAGTACGTACAATCACAGACCTTATCATCCTGAGAACGATCTGTACGTGCGTCCCGTTAAGCATTCTTATACACCGATAACGAAAACCAGCACGCATAAAACTACAGCTATCGAGGAGGATAAAGTAAAGTGGAGTCCGTCGACGACTTTCTTGCCGATCATCACCACGAACTCTTCGCGAACGATGCTTTCCACCTCAACCAGAGCACCCGCCGTGACCACGTGGAAACCATCGAATACTCCGGTATCCTTTCACACCATCGATCGCACAGAGCTTGAGAACGAGAAGAATCTTCTGCCGATCGAGAAACTGCACGTGGAATCTCATCGAAATCCGAGCAACGTTCCCACGCGAACTCCGAACGACGGTGCCATGACGGAGAAGACGCAAACCACCTCTCATCTTCACAAAGATCACTCGAATCTCGATAATTTCGTGCTGTCTCATGCGAGACCTGAAACGAAACCGACGCAAAGCGAAGAATATTCTTACGACACTTACGAGTTGCCGGAAGGTGAGAGCGAGAGCGAAGGCGGCAACGACGGCAACAGTGAGGAGACCGATTACTTTTTACCGTTCAAAGACTTATTGAAGGAGATTACGTCGGTATCCTCCACAACTGCTTCTCCAACAGCATCCACGGCGGCTACAACCACCACCAGTACCACTACTACTACCGCTGCTACTAGCACGATGACTGATACTGCGTCTTCGACAAGAACCACGACGACTACTACCACGATGATGCCTTCGCGATCTGTATCTTCGACGTCATCTACACCTGAAGATGCATTGGTAAACAACAGACTGCAATTCCCGATCATTTCTTCGTCCTTGAACAGCGATCGAAGACAGAGTGTTACGGAGAGTCATCAAGGTATAATCGGTCACGGATACAGACCAACCTCGATCAAGCTGGAACCAAACAGAATAGGAGCAGGAACCGTGATAGAGAGCACGAGCAACATTGTGATTCCACCGGATCAGGACACCGTGTCTTTTGTTCTCGGTAATCGTCAAAGTGTCGAAGGTGGTTACTATTCGGTCGGGACAGCCGTCGGAGAGAATCCTTACGGCACTTTGTCCGACCTCGACACCACGCTCTGGCCGCTTCACAACGATCCGCATGGACCAACGAAGATAGTCAAGCACGAGTATTCATCAGCTCACTCCGCCACTGAATCACCGGGCTCCGATCGCGTTACGCAGAAATGGTGGCCACCCAGCCCTCTGAAAACCAGCAACGAGATCGAACCACCAAAGTCTCAAAGTCCTCTCGTAGCAATCGCAAGCGCAGTGATTCAGGATACGAGGAACCGAAGCAAAGAAAAGGATTCCGGCTACGTCATTTTTCCGGATGAGAACGAAACAAAGGACAAGGACACGACGAAGGAGGAGCATATCGTTGTCATAAACGAAGCGGATGGCAGTATTCGTGAAATCACACCCAAGACGACAACGTTAACGACGACGACGATTGGAGGAGACCTGCCACAGCTCGCTGAGGACTTGATACCACCCGCGGAAAGTTCTAGGCCACCATCGTACTACCATCATTACCAATACGATATGTCAAGACCGGATCACTCCAGATTACCTCAGAGAACACCTTTACCGCCACCTCCGTCGCGTATCAAACCACCACATTCGGCACCTCCCCCGGACGCAGGACTTAGAAAACGTCCGTACTCGCCGGACACAAAGCTGCCTAACATCCTGCCCCAGTTCCGACCTAACGCGAAAGCGTCACACGGTCATCGCGGTCCAGACGCGATAGGAACTATGCCGGCTGGACAACCAGGTTCATCGGGTACGAGAGTTCGACAACCCTTGCCGAGTCACTCGTCCACTTCGCGAAGACCTCTTCCGCCGCCCTCGTATCTTCAGCGTTTGAATCCACCACCGCCGCCGATTCACGCGGTCAGACTAGCCTTTGTGCCGACGTCCAACGGAGACAGCATTGCTTCGCCACACGAGACGGAATCGACGATACGAACGAGACTTCGTCCTCCGCACTCATCCATCTCGCGCATAGGCCTGGAGGAGAACAAATTGTTCACTCACGGCAAGAACAGCGAGAGTAGGAAGGAGGATCATGGTAAGAGCGAGATTGCGGACGAAAACGAAGAAAGATACCCGGAGGAACCGCCAATGACACCGCCGAGGCCGCCTCTGTTCCCGAAGAGACGAACAGCGGATCCTCCGCGCGTCGCGACTCTGCAGATGATACAGCAACACGGTGAATTAATCGGCGAGAATGAAGAGACCGACGAATCGGTGGAATCTGTGCTCCCGCATGAAGCAGAACGCAGGAAGTCCGACAATCACGATCCAGCGGAAATACCTGAACAACCTGTATACGTTGTATACCCGGTCAACACCGCGGTCAACATACTTTCAGACGACTCCAACGAGAAGGACGGAAGCGTCGTTGTAGGTACACGAGGTCCTCATCGGCCGCTACCACCTGACACTTTGCTTCAGAACGAGCCGGCGGAGGAGACGCATACCGTCTACAACGGTAGACCTCTGGCCGCTCTTGATTTCCCATATCCTCTGGAACGACCTGATCCGTCGTCCGTCTTTCCCGCGGCTGGGGTGAAAGAAACACCGTTATTGATACCCAGTAAACAACGGCAGCAGCAACAACAACAACAAGCAGCAGCAGCAACAGCAGGCTTCCACCCCAAGCGAGCAAGAGAAGAACGAAAAGGACGAGCAGGTGGATTCAGTAAACGTGATCCCATACTTGCAGGACTTCCTACCGACATTCAACAACAAAAAGAAGAACGACGCGGCAATTTCCGTGACGTTGCATCGCACTGCACCGATCGCAAGCGCATCAACGTCAGCATCGACGTCGACCTTGTCTACATCGACTTCGACGCCGATCGCTTACGTTTACACCCCGACGAATGCTCCGTATTCCATTCATCGTCTCGATGACGACGTCAACGACGATGACGAAGACGCCGCTACGAAGCAAACGGTGTTGCTACCTTCTCAACAGCCGTCCAGCTCGTCCAGCTCGGCGCCGGCACCGCAAAATTTCATGGCCCCTTTTGTTGCGAGTTTGAGCGCCGAGACGCCTAGCAAAAACGATTGGAGCGTCGTCGTCGTCGAGGGAGCGGAGAGAAAGTCGGATAGTGACGGTGGCGAGGCGAAGGTCAACTCGGAGTCCGAAACCCAAACTGAGAAGAATGAATTTGACGCTGACAACTTTAAGCCGCAGCTCTTCGGTGGGTTCAAACCGATCTACGAGTTTCCTACGGAAGATGCGGCGCGTCGCGACGTCGCCGATACGAACGCAGAAGTGGACACTCCCAGGAATTTCAAGAAACTGCTCTCCGTATCCGACAAGGGATAATTTAAATTAAAGATACAGAATTTTAAGGATACAAGACGTCTGTGGGTTTCCCTTCGAGCTTTGCGCTCGGACATTCCATACTTGCGCTCATTTTACTTATTTTTTTCGCGTATACGTAAATGAAAACATCGACGAAAGCGAAAGCAAAACGTACATGCGTAAGAAAAAGAAACGAATGTCTTTGCGCGCTGCTCGATGAAAAGATAGATACATCCTCGTGGCAGAGCTAATGAAGGACTGACTGTTGTCACCTATTTTTTATTCCGTCTAATTTATTAGAAGAAGATTTATTAGAACATTGTGACATGAAATAATATATTTATTGCAATCATTTGAGTTAAGCTTTGCCTCGCAGATGTATAATAGCGTCTAAACGTTAGCTACAAAAGTATCGACAAGCAGAAGAAACACTGAATAAAAATAACATTTTCTATGTGGGTAAAATTTTTGGAATATTTCATTATTTTTAATTGTGCAATATACGAGTATTAGGAAAAAAACCATTTCCATCGAAAAGAAATCAAACAATTAAACTTGATATTTCTTCATAAATGCTTTATATTATCGAAAGAGATATATCGTCATACTACAAAGTTGTATAATGATATGTAATAATAGTTTTGATTAAATTACTTACGTATACTAAAATTATCTATATAATAGATGCTTTATATATATATATATATATATATATATATATATATATATATATATATATATATATGAATAAAGCATATAGAAATTAATTTTATTCAGATCTTTTTCTCCACAAAATTAAAGATAAAAAAATTATTTTTAAATATGTTTCGCGTCTTATTACTTTGTCTTCTATAAATTTGATAAATTTTTCATATATTGCCTATGAATATATTATATATATATTCGCACGTATTACATATCTTATCTGCTATCAAAAAGTCGAAGATCCAACTTGAGAATAACATCACCGCTATCGACTTCACGTAATTTGATTCTTTTTTGAATTGGTCCGCAAGAATCTTTACTATCTCTCATTATGTCAGCCACTCTGATTTCGGCACGACCAAGAAACTCTGCGTAACATTTCAAATTGTCGATATAAAAATTATTTAGTCGATTAATATTTTTTTAGTAGCACTCGTATAAAATTTAAGTAAGAGATATACGTAAGGACTTACCGTCAGGACTGTAGTGTCCTTTATCGAACACGGTGATGCAAAGGGTATCCTCCTGTAGATCTTTTACTTGGAATTGCATCGAATCGTCCCACCAAGGGCAATCGCTTCCTGATACGACATTGGTCCTTTCTTCTTGAGAGCCCATAGACACTTTGCAGAATGTATTATACTTTCCTAGAAGAAAAGAAACGCTTGCATATGAACATTCGATCGTCGTCGACAAAGCAGAACGACAGTTCTGCGACATATAAATATATATATTTTTTTTGCTTTAAGCGTTAGTAATTTTATGCTTTCGTGCATTATACGTAGCCCTGAAGCCATTCCAAAGATAGCGCACTTATCCTCCCGCATCCGGATTCTTCAGCGCCAAACTTTTAAAGCTTGATTATCGTAAGATTGAAATATTTTGATATATAATTGTATATCTTAAAGATATTAAATATATATAATTTATTAAATATGTGTGTATGGTTTTTCTTTTATACATATAAACATTTATACACTAAAAAATAATTTTTTGTCATGCATTTATGCTTTTGCAATTTTATTCGCCAAAACCTTTAATTTTATTTGATAACTGTAAAGACCATTGTTTGAATTTTTAATTGTGGATAAAGTAAGAGTGCAACTAATTAAACTATTAAAAAAATCATAGAGGAGAAAAGATCGTGCTACTGTGGAATAGATGAAGCAGATAATAAAATCAATGCAATCCCATCATTATAGAACAAGCTTAATAAAAGTTGATTTACAAACCAACGTCTAAAATATACGAATACAGGTATTCAGAATTCTTTCAAAGTGCAGGATCTCGATACTATACCTTTTCTGCTAATGACAAGATCTTCAGCTTCCACAATTACTAGTTGCAGCATACCTTGGGGAGGTCTGCGAACTACAATCATGGCAGATTTTTGTTAGTAAAATAAAGCGCTGCATGCAAATTATATGATATTTTTGTTTTTCTGACGCATGTTTCTCCGATAGATACCTATATGTATACCACGATATAATACCACCTTTACATAAAAGCATACAAGCAAGCGTTAATAAACACGTGCATTAACATTGGTAAAGAGGCGTAAAAAAAAGCAAACGTGCGATAATAAGCGACCTAAAACCGCCATTGCGGATTCTTACCGAATGGGGCTTTCAAGTTGTAGCCTTGGAGGACAGTGACGAGAATTCTGCCGCACGCCCCAAATTGCGCCTGCTCTGTTCATCCACATAAACGTATTGTTGAAATTAAATTTATTATGCGACATGGGAGTAGATCTACGTATAAGCTGCGATACTGCGTGATATACACGAAAAAATTGACGTACAAATACAGTGACCATATTTTCTAAGAGAAAATAAAGAACAAATTGACAATTCTGTGACTATCAGAAGTCTACGTTCTTATTCTTATAGTTGAAACTGATTCAATTATGTTGAAACAAATTAACCCTTGGTTTCTTAAATAGGTTCTGAATAAGAGGTATCATTGTTTTCGTATATAAATTCTCACGTTAATATTATAACATTAGACGATGAAACGCTAAATAAAAAAAATTATAATATAAATAAAGCGACAAAATATTTAAAATAAAGGAAAAAATTGAGTGTTAGAAAATGAATAAATCTAAAGGACAGCTACTTTAAATAAAGGTTTGTCCTCGAAAATAAAGAACGGATAGTCACTGTACGTATAAACACTATCTGCTTACAAACAATTGACAAAGCAATAGATAACTTATAAGAGAGAAAGAGAGAGCCTGTACGAATAAACAATTAATGGTTTGATAATCTTAATACTTGGATAACGAGGATAGTTAAACTCACTTGATCGTTGTCTTTGCAAACGATTTCTTTCGTTTTCTAAAAATCTCCTACGCGCTTCTATGATTCGTTTCGACCACAATGAGCATTCATTCGCAGATGATGCTAATAATATAATTGGCTTCTTTTGATCTTTCAGTCTTAGAATTTTCGAAGAATTGTCCGCTGCGTCGCTTCCGCTCAGGCTACTGTTTCCGTCATTTTCTCCGAGCAAGGACAATTCATTGAGAAATATTGGCTATAAAAAGAAGAGACATTTTGATATTACAATGATGAAAAATTTTTTACACATTTTCTTTCTGATCAATTTTCTAATATTTTTCAAAAGTATTACATATTATAAACATTACCTTTCTGTACATCTTAAACTTTTGATGTTCGTTACGTTCGAATGAAAATTGTTGGCAGTTGAGGGAGAATTTTATCGGTTGAACGAACAGTAAAAAATCATTTGTCAGGTAGCCGACGAGTTCTTTGCCACTTTTCGACTGTAACAAAGTTGCCATGTGGAATAAAACTGTGAAAGAAATGCAACATAAAAATTTCTCAATACGAAAATAATTCTTACCTTATGAAGTATACCAAAATGCAAAAGTTTTCGAGGTCCTAAAGAATTTGTCAAGGAATTGAAGACAAGTTGCTCTTCAAGACCGTCGCACATCACATGAGTTTGCAACCATTCCAGTCTGTCGCTATTTTCTTTCTCTCTGACTCCTTCATTCACCTGCAAAAATGCATAATATTAGATGAAAAATAAAACAAAATAAATATGAATAAATTCTCCTCTCTTTCTAGATAGCAGAATCAGTTATTTTGACGTCATTTGATGTTAAAATTACGTAAAAATAACTAATTTGCTATCTGGGTTCTTTCTACTAGTTGCTTTCTTTGTATTCTTTTGCGAGTGCTATTTTTACCTGGGTACAAAACTCTTCGGATTTAGCCAACGCTTCTTGTAGATACTGCCTATCGGGATGATCCATCGGCGTATATTCCAAAATCTATAATGCCAGTGTGTTACACACGCTACTTTATGACGTGATGTAAGTTACAATGATTTAGAGATAAAAGTAAGAATACCTTGCCGATAATGAGCGGATATTTTGTTATTCTTTGCATCGGTTTGATTAAAAATGAGCTTAATGGCATCCCCTTTGTTCTAGGATCTTGTTGACACTTCTGTGCGACCCGGACGAATTCCGGCGAGGTTTCTGTCAAACGTTGCAGATACGTCGCAGCGGATATTTGACAGCTGCAGAATCTTATGTAAGCTGACATCCTGGGTATCTATACAAAATTTTATATATATTGTAAGCAGATTTTCATAAATAAAAACGATGGTTTTTCTTGCATTTAAAATGATCGTAAATTATTCATACACTTACATTTTCGCATAGAATATCGCCAATCATTCTAACTACTCCGTTGTAGCTGTTGTCCCTTCTTATTCTTAAAGTTCTGTAAGAAATTTATTCGTTATCTCATTTCGTTAATAGAAAATATATATATTTCGTTAGTTATACATTAATGGTAGATTTAGTTACCTCAAAAAGTTATCGTTACAAGCAATAATGTCTCTCCAATTGATAAATATCTTTTCTATTTCATCGACGCTTAAGACTAAACTTTCGATTAATGGTTTCTCAAACACCTAAAATATACACAATATATATATATACACACACACATACATATATATAGATTCATCTCGAATTTCCCTTCTTATATTTTTAATTTAGAGTAACAATGTGCATGTTTTTTTTCTTTCAATTTTTCATACTTTAAATTTGTCAAGTTTTTATTTAAAATCTTGTTAAAGTTTTAAATAAATACTTTATCTACAATTAATTGATTTCTAAAATTTACACAATTGTTGATAAGAAAAACATTTTAGATAGATAATATCTAAGAAAAAATCTACCAAAGTGGTATAAAAAATCTTTAGATGAAAGGAAGGAGAACTACGTGTCATATGTTACTCTAAATATATACATACATGAGTCAAAAACCGTAGATAAAAAACAAATTCAAAAAAGAAAGTGAAAAGTACCTCGTGTACTAGTCTCATGTCTTCTATATAGGCGTGTTCAGTCACAATTAGCTCTTTGATATGTTCCTGGCGCTTTTTTTCCATGGGATTGTGACACATTGTATCGATCACCAATTCATTTGCTACACATAAAATATATACAAAAAATGTTTTTTTCGCGTAAAATCATTAATTATTATTTTTTTACTTTAAGTAGAGATAGCTAATTTTATATTCTCAAAAATAATGTGGCTCAATAAATATATGTCTTAATACAAAAATTTCTATATGTATAAATGAAATAAAATCTTTCGAATTGTCTATACTATTCTATAAAGTACAAAATCTTTTTTAGAGTAAATAGAGAATAAAATCATTCCCCTGTCAGTAGAACGATTTTCTACGTGCTAATGAATTAATTATCTTGGGGCAAAGATAAAAACTTTAAAAAGAAAGGGAATATATTACATGTCAAAGTAATATCGATAAGTTAAAATTGTTATTACGAACGATAATATATCGAATAACATGTGATTCGTCTACGCAAGAATAATTTTTACAACAGATAGATATTTTATTTCGATCAGCGATGATAGATGCGAACGTATCCGTATATGTATATATGGATATGTTTACATACGTATAAGAACA